AATACATAAATGATCAGTATTAGCTGAAATACAACCACAGGAGAAGACCTGACCTCCTTATTAAAACTGTGATTGCCCTGTATTAAAATGAAGCAATGTTATCTGCAGGTAGTGTTGCAACATGATAGAGGTGTTAAGACTGGCGCACATCTCAGCGTCAGAGCGCCTTGTTTGCTCAACCTTCATCAGGAAGAAGCGGCAGCCATAGATATCCATAATAAAGGCTTTATTATGGATAATAACGTCCAGGCACCACCTGGTCAGAAATAATAAAAAATAATAATAATAATAATAAATTGGAATCCAACTATAAAACAGGCCTTTATCGTAAATATTGGGCGTAAATTGGACAGTGTGTTACTTTCCACCTGAGGTACTAAAAGAACATGGATGTTCCATGGCCGGCCGGAACCTCTAAGCTTTACACAGTTGAACACGTATTTGTTTATTTGTGACACACATGCACCCGTCCGTCTGCAGGCAGCTTCTTTAATCAGTATAAGGCTTAAAACCAAAGAAAGTCTCCCTGCGTTACTCCATTTGATCTCCGCGCTCATCGCCGGTGAGTTTATCGCTGATTTTACTGCAGGAGAAGCAAGTCTAAGGGCAAGCTAACATTAGCTTAGCCGACCAAAGAAGCTAACCTATAATATTAATGCTCTCTTTGTTGGGGCCGTTAGATACATTAGCCTGCCAGCGTCGACATCGGTTGTCGGTTTAAAGTAGTGATGGGTTACAGAGGCATTTTGAAACATTGCTAAACTGTATTTATACTGCGTTGATTCTGTCTCACAGAATACTGACACCTGCTGGACATTTACAGACACTACAGGCAGCTTATTGGACAGACTGAACAGTTTTGATAACCAATGCAATAATATAATTTAAGTTATATTGTATTATTTCATATCTATGTTTAAATTGAAAATATTTAATATTTTAAGATGCAGCCAATAAATAATGACAACATATATCATAACGTGAAACTTAGGGGAAAATGAACATGTGGACTAGGATTGTAAATCATATTTTACAGTAAATAAGTACAGTAAATAAACTAAAGGTCCATTTTAAATTAACTTTAATTCAGATAAGTTGAGTGATAAATTAGAGGAAAAGCAGGGCTCGATGTTAACCATTGCCCGCAAAAAAAATTATTTATCACTCAAAATTACTCTAAAATCACCGACATTAGCTGAAAACGACCCAGCCGGCGCCATTTTTGTTGTTTTGTACACA